CGGACATCGCCTTCGCCTGCAGCAAGCTGGGGAGCGGCCTCACGGTGAGGAGCGACCAGCACTGGCGCGAGGTCGACCGCTGCCTCGCCTACCTCGCCAACACGCGCGACACCGCCCTGGAGTTTGGCGGTGGACCTGAGTCACTGGAGCTGGTCGGCTACATGGACGCCGACGACGCCGGTGACAAGCAGAGCAGGACGAGCACGGGCGGCTACGTGTTCGTCTACGGAGGGGCCGCGGTCTCCTGGTCGAGCCAGTGCATCAAGTGCGCGACGCTGTCGTCGACCGAGTCGGAGTACGTGGCGGCCGTCGAAGCCGGCAAGGAGGGACGCCGACTTCGCTTCCTCCTCGCAGAGTTCCAGCAGCTGGATGCTGGGAAGCCGACCGTCCTTCGGGTGGACAACAAGTCGGCCATCACAGTCGCCGAAGGCATGGGGTTGACGGGCAATCTCAAGCACATGGAGCGGCGACAAGCCTGGCTGCAGCACATGGTGAAGCAGGGGAAGTTTGCGCTGCAGTACATCCCGACCGCTGAGCAGCCGGCCGACTTCCTCACGAAGGCGCTGCACTATCCGGCCTTCAACCGGTGCTCCGTCGCCATCGGCCAAGTGCGTCTGGCCGACGTGGGCGGCGGCGACGACGACATGCAGCAGTAGGTGCCATGCCCTCCTGCATGGCTGGTGCGGTGGACGACGTGCTGTGTGTTGGGTGCACGTCGACGAGCTGTTCTCCGAGAGGTGCTGCCGTGTGGGCTGGGGGGCCCAAGCGTGAACGCGGCAGGGGAGTGTCAACGGGAGTTGGGTATTGGCCCCGTCCTCGCTTGGGCGGAGCCGACTTCGTGGTCGGGTGTAGGGTGCAGCCGACCTGCAGCAGTGGGCGAGTTGGTCGACGAGGTTGGTCGACCTGCACGGGGAGCCACTGCATGAGCGCCGACTTCAGGAGGGCGCCACCTTTGGCTGGTCGACCTGGGAAGTCGACCAACCCCTTCTGGTCGACCTGGGACGTCGACCAGGCCTTCTGGTCGACCTGGGAAGTCGATCAGGCCTTCTGGTCGACCTGGGAAGTCGACCAGGTCTTGTGGTCGACCAGGAGTGACGTCGACCTAGAGCTGGTCGACCAGGGAGTAGTGGTCGACCTGGGAGGTCGACCGGCACATACCGGAGGCAGTGGTCGACCTGGTGAGGTCGACTGGAAGTGGTCGTCGACTTGGGTGGTCGACGGGCACGCACTGGAGCCTCTGGTCGACCTGGTTGCCCGGTCGACCAGGTTACCTGGGTGACGAGGTGCTGCGAAGGCTTGCGATGGTCGCCCAGGTGGTTTTGGCGAGGACGACCTCGGTGATGGTATCCCGAGGTCGACGTGGTGCATCAGAAGCAGTCGTCAGCACGAAGTTGATGTGGTGTGTGCGCTGTGCAGGTGACGAGGCACTGCACGCCAATCATCTGCGAGCACCTGCGAAGTAGGTGCGCTGCTGTCCTGCGGGAGCAACGCTGGCACGCCGTCGACTTGCGCTGTTGTCACGCCGTCGACCTGCAGCGTTGGCAAGCCGCGTCTCTGCACTGTTGGAGCGCGGTCGACCAAGTCGTGCTGGCACACGGTCGACCGTGCTGCGCTGGCAGTCGACCTGCTTGCATCCTGGCTCTGATGAGGTCTTGTCTTGCCAACTTCATTGTATCATTGTTGCCAACTTTCTCTAGTGAAACTCTTGCCAAATTGCCTTGTGAACTAGCAAGCAGTGTGTGCACTAGGAAAACGACTAAGGAACAGAGAACGCAGAGATCACACGAGCACACGTGCCTAGCCCGTAGTCTAGCTCCCGTTACTAGAGTTATCTCCGCAAAGAAAAGTTCGGCGCCCACGATTTCGGCCGTTTTGGGCGACAAATGCATAGAATGCGCACGAATCCCCAAAGGCGTAGGGAAAAGCGTTGAGCAACCTGAACTTTATGGCATATTCGAGTGGCACATGTTCAAATACACCTATTGGAGCATTTTCGGCTTGGTCCGTGTGCGAAGAAAAGTTCGGCGCCCACGATTTCGGCCGTTTTGGGCGACAAATGCATAGAATGCGCACGAATCCCCAAAGGTGTAGGGAAAAGTGTTGAACAACCTGAACTTTATGGCATATTCGAGTGGCACATGTTCAAATACACCTATTGGAGCATTTTTTGCATGGCTCGTGCGTGAAGAAAAGTTCGGTGCCCACGATTCCGGCCGTTTTGGGCGACAAATATATAGAATGCGCACGAATCCTCAAAGGCATCGGGAAAAGCATTGAGCAACCTAAACTTTATGGCATATCGAGTGGCACATGTTCAAATAGACCTATTGGAGCATTTTTTTCTTGGTTCGTGCGTGAAGAAAAGTTCGGCGCCCACGATTTCGGCCGTTTTGGGCGACAAATGCATAGAATGCGCACGAATCCCCAAAGGCGTAGGGAAAAGCGTAGAGAAACCTGAACTTTATTGCATATTCGAGTGGCCCATGTTCAAATACACCTATTAGAGCCTTTTTGGCTTGGTTCTTGCGCGAAGAAAAGTTCGGCGCTCACTATTTCGGCCATTTTGGGCGACAAATGCATAGGATGCGCACGAATCCCCTAAGGCGTAGGGAAAAGTGTTGAACAACCTGAACTTTATGGCATATTCGAGTGGCCCATGTGTCAACGGGAGTTGTATGTTGGCCCCGTCCTTGCTTGGGCGGAGCCGACTTCGTGGTCGGGTGTAGGGTGCAGCCGACCTGCAGCAGTGGGCGAGTTGGTCGACGAGGTTGGTCGACCTGCACGGGGAGCCACTGCATGGGCGCCGACTTCGGGAGGGCGCCAACTTCGGGTGGTCGACCTAGGAAGTCGACCAGACCTTCTGGTCGACCTGGGACGTCGACCAGCCCTTCTGGTCGACCTGGGACGTCGACCAGACCTTCTGGTCGACCTGGTAAGTCGACCAGACCCTCTGGTCGACCAGGAGTGACGTCGACTTGGAGCTGGTCGACCAGGGGATAGTGGTCGACCTGGGGAGGTCGACTGGAGGTGGCCGTCGACTTGGGAGGTCGACCGGCACGCACCAGAGGCAGTGGTCGACCTGGGAGGTCGACCGGAAGTGGTCGTCGACCTGGGTGGTCGACGGGCACGCACTGGAGCCTCTGGTCGACCTGGTTGCCCGGTCGACCAGGTTACCTGGGTGACGAGGTGCTGCGAAGGCTTGCGATGGTCGCCCAGGTGGTTTTGGCGAGGACGACCTCGGTGATGGTATCCCGAGGTCGACGTGGTGCATCAGGAGCAGTCGTCAGCACGAAGTTGATGTGGTGTGTGCGTTGTGCAGGTGACGAGGCACTGCACGCCAATCGTCTGCAAGCACCTGCGAAGTAGGTGCGCTGCTGTCCTGCGGGAGCAACGTTGGCGCGCCGTCAACCTGTGACGTTGGCACGCCGTCGACCTGCAGTGTTGGCAAGCCGCGACTCTGCGCTGCTGGAGCGCGGTCGACCAAGTTGTGCTGGCGCGCGGTCGACCGTGCTGCGCTGGCAGTCGTCCTGCTTGTATGCTACCTTGCCAACTTCTTTGTATCATTGTTGTCAACTTTCTCTAGTGAAACTCTTGCCAAATTACCTTGTGAACTAGCAAGTAGTGTGTGCACTAGGAAAACGACTAAGGAACCGAGAACGCAGAGATCACACGAGCACCCGTGCCTAGCCCGTAGTCTAGCTCCCATTGTAGTAGTTATCTCCTCATGGTGCGGTGAGCGTGGACGGCACCCGACTTACCTTTCAGTCTAGTCGACTTAGTAGGCACCTTACCTAAGTTGTTCGTAGGCCGGCAGCTGTGCGGTAGTCACTATGGTAGGCGCCGTAGGTGACACGGGGGTGGTGGACACCCTGGAGGCACGGCTGGAAAACACGAGAAGGAAGCACGAGGCCAAAAATTATGGCGACCTGCCGTGGGCGGTCGTCGAGGCTGGCATCCGTTCCTTGTGGGCGACGGAGCACCCTTCTCGGCCTGCTTCTCCTCGACCGGTGAACACCGAGGGCGGCGTCGACGTGGGTGTCAACGCCGGAGGCGACCAAGTCGGCAGCAGTGCGGGAGGCACGTCGTCGAGGCAGCGTGGTGTGATTCACGCCGACGAAGTCGGCGGCGTTCAGACGCGAGAAATGCAGTCGTCGGCGGCTGGAGGGTCCTCGCAGGGCGACGGCGGAGGTCGACGGAGCGGGTCTGTGCCGATGTCGGCGACCCAGGTGACAGCAGGCGGGATTGCACCGAGCTACGGCTACTTCAAGTTTACGCCGGACAGGATCCAGGTCACCCCCCTGCTGGTCGGTCGACCGGACATCCTCACCTGGAAGGAGGCAATCGAGCCTCAGCTGGAGATGGCCGGGCTGATCAACTTTGCTCGTGGTAGCACAAAAGAAGAGGCATCCAATTCAGTGGACCAATCAAAGTGATGCGTTGGGTAGTCTGGTCAGTTTGCGCACCTATAATGGGCATACCGGGCAGAGTGCGGGATCTCAGATTTCGAGAACCACATGGAACGAAATGGAAACACTTGTTGTGTATATGGAAAATATTTTAATCTAGTGGACTAGCACAAGAGAAGAGGCATCCAATTCAGTGGACCAGTCAAAGTGATGCGTTGGGTAGTCTGGTCAGTATGCGCACCTATAATGGGCGTACCGGGCAGAGTTCGGGATCTCAGATTTCCAGAACCACATGGAACGAAATGGAAACACTTGTTGTGGATGTGTAAAATAGTCTAATCTAGTGGACTAGCACAAGAAAGCAGGCATCCAATACAGTGGACCAGTCAAAGTGATGCGTTGGGTAGTCTGGTCAGTATGCGCACCTATAATGGGCGTACCGGGCAGAGTTCGGGATCTCAGATTTCGAGAACCACATGGAACGAAATGGAAACACTTGTTGTGGATGTGGAAAATAGTCTAATCTAGTGGACTAGCTAAAGAATGATTGGTCATGGACGTGACGACGTCATTCGTGAGTTTACGGACCTGCAATTATGCTGGAAAGTGCCAGGGAGTGAACCGAGAATGATTGGTCATGGAGCTCCACGACGGAAAATTGCCTGCTCCATGACCTGTACCGGTGCGGCTGTTTTCGCGTCTCGGGGCCACAAACGCCCGAAACGAGCATTTTTCTTCAACGTGAAGACGTCATTCGTGAGTTTACAGACCTGCAATTATGCTGGAAAGTGCCAGGGAGTGAACCGAGAATGATTGGTCATGGAGCTCCACGACGGAAAATTGCCTGCTCCATGACCAGTTTCCAGTGCGGTTGTTTTCGCGTCTCGGGGCTACAAACGCCCGAAATGACCGTTTTTCTTCAACGTGAAGACGTCATTCGTGAGTTTACGGACCTGCAATTATGCTGGAAAGTGCCAGGGAGTGAACCGAGAATGATTGGTCATGGACTCCACGACGGAAAATTGCCTGCTCCATGACCTATACCAGTGCGGCTGTTTTCGCATCTTGGGGCCACAAACGCCCGAAACGAGCGTTTTTCTTCAACGTGAAGACGTCATTCGTGAGTTTACAGACCTGCGATTATGCTGGAAAGTGCCAGGGAGTGAACCGAGAATGATTGGTCATGGAGCTCCACGACGGAAAATTGCCTGCTCCATGACCTGTACCGGTGCGGTTGTTTTCGCGTCTCGGGGCTACAAACGCCCGAAATGACCGTTTTCCTTCAATGTGAAGACGTCATTCGTGAGTTTACGGACCTCCGATTATGCTGGAAAGTGCCAGGGGTTGACCGATAATGATTGGTCATGGAGCTCCACGACGGAAAATTGTCTGCTCCATGACCTGTACCGGTGCGGCTGTTTTCGCGTCTCGGGGCTACAAACGCCCGAAACGAGCGTTTTTCTTCAACGTGAAGACGTCATTTGTGAGTTCATGGACCTGCAATTATGCTGGAAAGTGCCAGGGAGTGAACCGAGAATGATTGGTCATAGAGCTCCACGACGGAAAATTGCCTGCTCCATGACCTGTACCGGTGCGGCTGTTTTCGCGTCTCGGGGCCACAAACGCCCGAAACGAGCGTTTTTCTTCAACGTGACAACGTCATTCGTGAGTTTACAGACCTGCGATTATGCTGGAAAGTGCCAAGGAGTGAACCGAGAATGATTGGTCATGGAGCTCCACGACGGAAAATTGTCTGCTCCATGACCTGTACCGGTGCGGCTGTTTTCGCGTCTCGGGGCCACAAACGCCCGAAACGAGCGTTTTTCTTCAACGTGAAGACGTCATTCGTGAGTTTAAAGGACCTGCGATTATGCTGGAAAGTGCCAGGGAGTTGACCGAGAATGATTGGTCATGGAGCTCCACGACGGAAAATTGCCTGCTCCATGATCTGTACCGGTGCGGCTGTTTTCGCGTCTCGGGGCTACAAACGCCCAAAACGAGCGTTTTTCTTCAACGTGAAAACGTCATTCGTGAGTTCACAGACCTACAGCGAATTATGCTGGAAAGTGCCAGGGAGTGAACCGAGAATGATTGGTCATGGAGCTCCACGACGAAAAATTGCCTGCTCCATGACCTGTACCAGTGCGGCTGTTTTCGCGTCTCGGGGCTACAAACGCCCGAAACGAGCGTTTTTCTTCAACGTGAAGACGTCATTCGTGAGTTTACGGACCTGCAATTATGCTGGAAAGTGCCAGGGAGTGAACCGAGAATGATTGGTCATAGAGCTCCACGACGGAAAATTGCCTGCTCCATGACCTATACTGGTGCGGCTGTTTTCGCGTCTCGGGGCTACAAACGCCTGAAACGAGCGTTTTTCTTCAACGTGAAGACGTCATTCGTGAGTTCACGGACCTCCGATTATGCTAGAAAAAGCCAGGCAGTGAACCGAGAATGATTGGTCATGGAGCTCCACGACGGAAAATTGCCTGCTCCATGGCATGTACCGGTGCGGCTGTTTTCGCGTCTCGGGGCTACAAACGCCCGAAACGAGCGTTTTTCTTCAACGTGAAGACGTCATTCGTGAGTTCACGGACCTCCGATTATGCTAGAAAGTGCCAGGGAGTGAACCGAGAATGATTGGTCATGGAGCTTCACGACGGAAAATTTCTTGCTCCATGACCTGTACCGGTGCGGCTGTTTTCGCGTCTCGGGGCTACAAACGCCCGAAACGAGCGTTTTTCTTCAACGTGAAGACGATATTTGTGAGTTTATGGACCTCCGATTATGCTGAAAAGTACCAGGGAGTGAACCGAGAATGATTGGTCATGGAGCTCTACGACGGAAAATTGCCTGCTCCATGACCTGTACCAGTGCGGCTGTTTTCGCGTCTCGGGGCTACAAACGCCCGAAACGAGCGTTTTTCTTCAACGTGAAGACGTCATTCGTGAGTTCATGGAACTCCGACTATGCTGGAAAGTGCCAGGGAGTGAACCGAGAATGATTGGTCATGGAGCTCCACGACAGAAAATTGCCTGCTCCATGACATGTACCGGTGCAACTGTTTTCGCGTCTCGGGGCTACAAACGCCTGAAACGAGCGTTTTTCTTCAACGTGAAGACGTCATTCGTGAGTTTACGGACCTGCAATTATGCTGGAAAGTGCCAGGGAGTGAACCGAGAATGATCGGACATGGAACTCCACGACGGAAAATTGTCTGCTCCATGACCTGTACCGGTGCGGCTGTTTTCGCGTCTCGGGGCTACAAACGCCCGAAACGGGCATTTTTCTTCAACGTGAAGATGTCATTCGTGAGTTTACGGACCTGCAATTATGCTGGAAAGTGCCAGGGAGTGAACCGAGAATGATTGGTCATAGAGCTCCACGACAGAAAATTGCCTGCTCCATGACCTGTACCGGTGCGGCTGTTTTCGCGTCTCGGGGCTACAAACGCCCGAAACGAGCGTTTTTCTTCAATGTGAAGACGTCATTCGTGAGTTAATGGACATTTGATTATGCTGGAAGGTGCGAGGGAGTGAACCGAGAATGATTGGTCATGGAGCTCTACGACGGAAAATTGCCTGCTCCATGACCTGTACCGGTGCGGCTGTTTTCGCGTCTCGGGGCTACAAACGCCCGAAACGAGCGTTTTTCTTCAACGTGAAGACGTCATTCGTGAGTTCATGGAACTCCGACTATGCTGGAAAGTGCCAGGGAGTGAACCGAGAATGATTGGTCATGGAGCTCCACGACGGAAAATTGCCTGCTCCATGACATGTACCGGTGCAACTGTTTTCGCGTCTCGGGGCTACAAACGCCTGAAACGAGCGTTTTTCTTCAACGTGAAGACGTCATTCGTGAGTTTACGGACCTGCAATTATGCTGGAAAGTGCCAGGGAGTGAACCGAGAATGATCGTGGGGTCATGGAGCTCCACGACGGAAAATTGCCTGCTCCATGACATGTACCAGTGCGATTGTTTTCGCGTCTCGGGGCTACAAACGCCCGAAACGAGTGTTTTTCTTCAATGTGACGACGTCATTCGTAAGTTTACGGACCTCCGATTATGCTGGAAAGTGACAGGGAGTGAACCGAGACTAATTGGTCATGGAGCTCTACGACGGAAAATTGTCTGCTCCATGACCTGTACCGGTGCGGCTGTTTTCGCGTCTCGGGGCTACAAACGCCCGAAACGAGCATTTTTCTTCAACGTGAAGATGTCATTCGTGAGTTTACGGACCTGCAATTATGCTGGAAAGTGCCAGGGAGTGAACCGAGAATGATTGGTCATAGAGCTCCACGACAGAAAATTGCCTGCTCCATGACCTGTACCGGTGCGGCTGTTTTCGCGTCTCGGGGCTACAAACGCCCGAAACGAGCGTTTTTCTTCAATGTGAAGACGTCATTCGTGAGTTAATGGACATTTGATTATGCTGGAAGGTGCGAGGGAGTGAACCGAGAATGATTGGTCATGGAGCTCCACGACGAAAAATTGCCTGCTCCATGACCTGTACCAGTGCGGCTGTTTTCGCGTCTCGGGGCTACAAACGCCCGAAACGAGCGTTTTTCTTCAACGTGACGACGTCATTCGTGAGTTTACAGATATGCAATTATGCTGGAAAGTGCCAGGGAGTGAACCGAGAATGATTGGTCATAGAGCTCCACGACGGAAAATTGCCTGCTCCATGACCTATACCTGTGCGGCTGTTTTCGCGTCTCGGGGCTACAAACGCCTGAAACGAGCGTTTTTCTTCAACGTGAAGACGTCATTCGTGAGTTCACGGACCTCCGATTATGCTAGAAAGTGCCAGGGAGTGAACCAAGAATGATTGGTCATGGAGCTCCACGACGAAAAATTGCCTGCTCCATGACCTGTACCGGTGCGGCTGTTTTCGCGTCTCGGGGCTACAAACGCCCGAAACGAGCGTTTTTCTTCAACGTGAAGACGTCATTTGTGAGTTCACGGACCTCCGATTATGCTAGAAAGTGCCAGGGAGTGAACCGAGAATGATTGGTCATGGAGCTCCACGACGGAAAATTTCTTGCTCCATGACCTGTACCGGTGCGGCTGTTTTCGCGTCTCGGGGCTACAAACGCCCGAAACGAGCGTTTTTCTTCAACGTGAAGACGATATTCGTGAGTTTACGGACCTCCGATTATGCTAGAAAGTGCCAGGGAGTGAACCGAGAATGATTGGTCATGGAGCTCCACGACGGAAAATTGCCTGCTCCATGACCTGTACCGGTGCGGCTGTTTTCGCGTCTCGGGGCTACAAACGCCCGAAACGAGCGTTTTTCTTCAACATGAAGACGTCATTCGTGAGTTCACGGACCTCCGATTATGCTAGAAAGTGCCAGGGAGTGAACCGAGAATGATTGGTCATGGAGCTCCACGACGGAAAATTTCTTGCTCCATGACCTGTACCGGTGCGGCTGTTTTCGCGTCTCGGGGCTACAAACGCCCGAAACGAGCGTTTTTCTTCAACGTGAAGACGATATTCGTGAGTTTACGGACCTCCGATTATGCTAGAAAGTGCCAGGGAGTGAACCGAGAATGATTGGTCATGGAGCTCCACGACGGAAAATTGCCTGCTCCATGACCTGTACCGGTGCGGCTGTTTTCGCGTCTCGGGGCTACAAACGCCCGAAACGAGCGTTTTTCTTCAACGTGAAGACGTCATTCGTGAGTTTACAGACCTGTGATTATGCTGGAAAGTGCCAAGGAGTGAACCGAGAATGATTGGTCATGGAGCTCCACGACGGAAAATTGCCTGCTCCATGACCTGTACCGGTGCGGCTGTTTTCGCGTCTCGGGGCTACAAACGCCCGAAACGAGCGTTTTTCTTTAACGTGAAAACGTCATTCGTGAGTTTGCGGACCTGTGATATGCTGGAAATTTTTAGGGAGTGAACCGAGAATGATTGGTCATGGAGCTCCACGACGGAAAATTGCCTGCTTCATGACCTGTACTGGTGCGGCTGTTTTCGCGTCTCGGGGCTTTAAACGCCTGAAACGAGCGTTTTTCTTCAACGTGAAGACGTCATTCGTGAGTTTACGGACCTGCGATTATGCTGGAAAGTGCTTGGCAGTGAACCAAGAATGATTGTTCATGGACCTCCACGACGGAAAATTGCTTGCTCCATGACCTGTACCGGTGCGGCTGTTTTCGCGTCTCGGGGCTACAAACGCCCGAAACGAGCGTTTTTCTTCAACGTGAAGACGTCATTCGTGAGTTTACAGACCTGCGATTATGCTAGAAAGTGCCAGGGAGTGAACCGAGAATGATTGGTCATGGAGCTCCACGACGGAAAATTGCCTGCTCCATGACCTGTACCGGTGCGGCTGTTTTCGCATCACGGGGCTACAAACACCCGAAACGGGTTTTTTTCTTCAACATGAAGACGTCATTCGTGAGTTTACGGACCTGCAATTATGCTGGAAAGTGCCAGGGAGTGAACCGAGAATGATTGGTCATGGAGCTCTACGACGGAAAATTGCCTGCTCCATGACCTGTACCAGTGCGGCTGTTTTCGCGTCTCGGGGCTACAAACGCCCGAAACGAGCGTTTTTCTTCAACGTGAAGACGTCATTCGTGAGTTTACGGACCTGCGATTATGCTGGAAAGTGCTTGGCAGTGAACCGAGAATGATTGGTCATGGAGCTCCACGACGGAAAATCGCTTGCTCCATGACCTGTACCGGTGCGGCTGTTTTCGCGTCTCGGGGCTACAAACGCCCGAAACGAGCGTTTTTCTTCAACGTGAAGACGTCATTCGTGATTTTACAGACCTTGGATTATACTAGAAAGTACCAAGGAGTGAACCGAGAATGATTGGTCATGGAGCTCCACGACGGAAAATTGCCTGCTCCATGACCTGTACTAGTCCGGCTGTTTTCGCGTCTCAGGGCTACAAACGCCCGAAAAGAGTGTTTTTCTTCAACGTGACGACGTCATTCGTGACTTTACGGACCTTCGATTATGCTGGAAAGTGCCAGGGAGTGAACCGAGAATGATTGGTCATGGAGCTCCACGACGGAAAATTGCCTGCTCCATGACCTGTACCGCTGCTGCTGTTTTCGCGTCTCGGGGCTACAAACGCCCGAAACGAGCGTTTTTCTTCAACGTGAAGACGTCATTCGTGAGTTTACAGACCTGCGATTATGCTGGAAAGTGCCAGGGAGTGAACCGAGAATGATTGGTCATGGAGCTCCACGACGGAAAATTGCCTGCTCCATGACCTGTACCAGTGCGGCTGTTTTCGCGTCTCGGGGCTACAAACGCCCGAAACGAGCGTTTTTCTTCAACGTGAAGACGTCATTCGTGAGTTCATGGAACTCCGACTATGCTGGAAAGTGCTAGGGAGTGAACCGAGAATGATTGGTCATGGAGCTCCACGACGGAAAATTGCCTGCTCCATGACCTGTACCGGTGCAACTGTTTTCGCGTCTCGGGGCTACAAACGCCTGAAACGAGCGTTTTTCTTCAACGTGAAGACGTCATTCGTGAGTTTACGGACCTGCAATTATGCTGGAAAGTGCCAGGGAGTGAACCGAGAATGATTGGTCATGGAGCTCCACGACGGAAAATTGTCTGCTCCATGACCTGTACCGGTGCGGCTGTTTTCGCGTCTCGGGGCTACAAACGCCCGAAACGAGCATTTTTCTTCAACGTGAAGATGTCATTCGTGAGTTTACGGACCTGCAATTATGCTGGAAAGTGCCAGGGAGTGAACCGAGAATGATTGGTCATAGAGCTCCACGACAGAAAATTGCCTGCTCCATGACCTGTACCGGTGCGGCTGTTTTCGCGTCTCGGGGCTACAAACGCCCGAAACGAGCGTTTTTCTTCAATGTGAAGACGTCATTCGTGAGTTCATGGACCTTCGATTATGCTGGAAAGTGCCAGGGAGTGAACCGAGAATGATTGGTCATGGAGCTCCACGACGAAAAATTGCCTGCTCCATGACCTGTACCAGTGCGGCTGTTTTCGCGTCTCGGGGCTACAAACGCCCAAAACGAGCGTTTTTCTTCAACGTGAAGACGTCATTCGTGAGTTTACGGACCTGCAATTATGCTGGAAAGTGCCAGGGAGTGAACCGAGAATGATTGGTCATTGAGCTCCACGACGAAAAATTGCCTGCTCCATGACCTATACTGGTGCGGCTGTTTTCGCGTCTCGGGGCTACAAACGCCTGAAACGAGCGTTTTTCTTCAACGTGAAGACGTCATTCGTGAGTTCACGGACCTCCGATTATGCTAGAAAGTGCCAGGGAGTGAACCGAGAATGATTGGTCATGGAGCTCCACGACGGAAAATTGCCTGCTCCATGACCTGTACCGGTGCGGCTGTTTTCGCGTCTCGGGGCTACAAACGCCCGAAACGAGCGTTTTTCTTCAACGTGAAGACGTCATTCGTGAGTTCACGGACCTCCGATTATGCTAGAAAGTGCCAGGGAGTGAACCGAGAATGATTGGTCATGGAGCTTCACGACGGAAAATTTCTTGCTCCATGACCTGTACCGGTGCGGCTGTTTTCGCGTCTCGGGGCTACAAACGCCCGAAACGAGCGTTTTTCTTCAACGTGAAGACGATATTTGTGAGTTTATGGACCTCCGATTATGCTGAAAAGTACCAGGGAGTGAACCGAGAATGATTGGTCATGGAGCTCTACGACGGAAAATTGCCTGCTCCATGACCTGTACCAGTGCGGCTGTTTTCGCGTCTCGGGGCTACAAACGCCCGAAACGAGCGTTTTTCTTCAACGTGAAGACGTCATTCGTGAGTTCATGGAACTCCGACTATGCTGGAAAGTGCCAGGGAGTGAACCGAGAATGATTGGTCATGGAGCTCCACGACAGAAAATTGCCTGCTCCATGACATGTACCGGTGCAACTGTTTTCGCGTCTCGGGGCTACAAACGCCTGAAACGAGCGTTTTTCTTCAACGTGAAGACGTCATTCGTGAGTTTACGGACCTGCAATTATGCTGGAAAGTGCCAGGGAGTGAACCGAGAATGATCGGACATGGAACTCCACGACGGAAAATTGTCTGCTCCATGACCTGTACCGGTGCGGCTGTTTTCGCGTCTCGGGGCTACAAACGCCCGAAACGGGCATTTTTCTTCAACGTGAAGATGTCATTCGTGAGTTTACGGACCTGCAATTATGCTGGAAAGTGCCAGGGAGTGAACCGAGAATGATTGGTCATAGAGCTCCACGACAGAAAATTGCCTGCTCCATGACCTGTACCGGTGCGGCTGTTTTCGCGTCTCGGGGCTACAAACGCCCGAAACGAGCGTTTTTCTTCAATGTGAAGACGTCATTCGTGAGTTAATGGACATTTGATTATGCTGGAAGGTGCGAGGGAGTGAACCGAGAATGATTGGTCATGGAGCTCTACGACGGAAAATTGCCTGCTCCATGACCTGTACCGGTGCGGCTGTTTTCGCGTCTCGGGGCTACAAACGCCCGAAACGAGCGTTTTTCTTCAACGTGAAGACGTCATTCGTGAGTTCATGGAACTCCGACTATGCTGGAAAGTGCCAGGGAGTGAACCGAGAATGATTGGTCATGGAGCTCCACGACGGAAAATTGCCTGCTCCATGACCTGTACCAGTGCAACTGTTTTCGCGTCTCGGGGCTACAAACGCCTGAAACGAGCGTTTTTCTTCAACGTGAAGACGTCATTCGTGAGTTTACGGACCTGCAATTATGCTGGAAAGTGCCAGGGAGTGAACCGAGAATGATCGTGGGGTCATGGAGCTCCACGACGGAAAATTGCCTGCTCCATGACATGTACCAGTGCGATTGTTTTCGCGTCTCGGGGCTACAAACGCCCGAAACGAGTGTTTTTCTTCAATGTGACGACGTCATTCGTAAGTTTACGGACCTCCGATTATGCTGGAAAGTGACAGGGAGTGAACCGAGACTAATTGGTCATGGAGCTCTACGACGGAAAATTGTCTGCTCCATGACCTGTACCGGTGCGGCTGTTTTCGCGTCTCGGGGCTACAAACGCCCGAAACGAGCATTTTTCTTCAACGTGAAGATGTCATTCGTGAGTTTACGGACCTGCAATTATGCTGGAAAGTGCCAGGGAGTGAACCGAGAATGATTGGTCATAGAGCTCCACGACAGAAAATTGCCTGCTCCATGACCTGTACCGGTGCGGCTGTTTTCGCGTCTCGGGGCTACAAACGCCCGAAACGAGCGTTTTTCTTCAATGTGAAGACGTCATTCGTGAGTTAATGGACATTTGATTATGCTGGAAGGTGCGAGGGAGTGAACCGAGAATGATTGGTCATGGAGCTCCACGACGAAAAATTGCCTGCTCCATGACCTGTACCAGTGCGGCTGTTTTCGCGTCTCGGGGCTACAAACGCCCGAAACGAGCGTTTTTCTTCAACGTGACGACGTCATTCGTGAGTTTACAGATATGCAATTATGCTGGAAAGTGCCAGGGAGTGAACCGAGAATGATTGGTCATAGAGCTCCACGACGGAAAATTGCCTGCTCCATGACCTATACCTGTGCGGCTGTTTTCGCGTCTCGGGGCTACAAACGCCTGAAACGAGCGTTTTTCTTCAACGTGAAGACGTCATTCGTGAGTTCACGGACCTCCGATTATGCTAGAAAGTGCCAGGGAGTGAACCAAGAATGATTGGTCATGGAGCTCCACGACGAAAAATTGCCTGCTCCATGACCTGTACCGGTGCGGCTGTTTTCGCGTCTCGGGGCTACAAACGCCCGAAACGAGCGTTTTTCTTCAACGTGAAGACGTCATTTGTGAGTTCACGGACCTCCGATTATGCTAGAAAGTGCCAGGGAGTGAACCGAGAATGATTGGTCATGGAGCTCCACGACGGAAAATTTCTTGCTCCATGACCTGTACCGGTGCGGCTGTTTTCGCGTCTCGGGGCTACAAACGCCCGAAACGAGCGTTTTTCTTCAACGTGAAGACGATATTCGTGAGTTTACGGACCTCCGATTATGCTAGAAAGTGCCAGGGAGTGAACCGAGAATGATTGGTCATGGAGCTCCACGACGGAAAATTGCCTGCTCCATGACCTGTACCGGTGCGGCTGTTTTCGCGTCTCGGGGCTACAAACGCCCGAAACGAGCGTTTTTCTTCAACATGAAGACGTCATTCGTGAGTTCACGGACCTCCGATTATGCTAGAAAGTGCCAGGGAGTGAACCGAGAATGATTGGTCATGGAGCTCCACGACGGAAAATTTCTTGCTCCATGACCTGTACCGGTGCGGCTGTTTTCGCGTCTCGGGGCTACAAACGCCCGAAACGAGCGTTTTTCTTCAACGTGAAGACGATATTCGTGAGTTTACGGACCTCCGATTATGCTAGAAAGTGCCAGGGAGTGAACCGAGAATGATTGGTCATGGAGCTCCACGACGGAAAATTGCCTGCTCCATGACCTGTACCGGTGCGGCTGTTTTCGCGTCTCGGGGCTACAAACGCCCGAAACGAGCGTTTTTCTTCAACGTGAAGACGTCATTCGTGAGTTTACAGACCTGTGATTATGCTGGAAAGTGCCAAGGAGTGAACCGAGAATGATTGGTCATGGAGCTCCACGACGGAAAATTGCCTGCTCCATGACCTGTACCGGTGCGGCTGTTTTCGCGTCTCGGGGCTACAAACGCCCGAAACGAGCGTTTTTCTTTAACGTGAAAACGTCATTCGTGAGTTTGCGGACCTGTGATATGCTGGAAATTTTTAGGGAGTGAACCGAGAATGATTGGTCATGGAGCTCCACGACGGAAAATTGCCTGCTTCATGACCTGTACTGGTGCGGCTGTTTTCGCGTCTCGGGGCTTTAAACGCCTGAAACGAGCGTTTTTCTTCAACGTGAAGACGTCATTCGTGAGTTTACGGACCTGCGATTATGCTGGAAAGTGCTTGGCAGTGAACCAAGAATGATTGTTCATGGACCTCCACGACGGAAAATTGCTTGCTCCATGACCTGTACCGGTGCGGCTGTTTTCGCGTCTCGGGGCTACAAACGCCCGAAACGAGCGTTTTTCTTCAACGTGAAGACGTCATTCGTGAGTTTACAGACCTGCGATTATGCTAGAAAGTGCCAGGGAGTGAACCGAGAATGATTGGTCATGGAGCTCCACGACGGAAAATTGCCTGCTCCATGACCTGTACCGGTGCGGCTGTTTTCGCATCACGGGGCTACAAACACCCGAAACGGGTTTTTTTCTTCAACATGAAGACGTCATTCGTGAGTTTACGGACCTGCAATTATGCTGGAAAGTGCCAGGGAGTGAACCGAGAATGATTGGTCATGGAGCTCTACGACGGAAAATTGCCTGCTCCATGACCTGTACCAGTGCGGCTGTTTTCGCGTCTCGGGGCTACAAACGCCCGAAACGAGCGTTTTTCTTCAACGTGAAGACGTCATTCGTGAGTTTACGGACCTGCGATTATGCTGGAAAGTGCTTGGCAGTGAACCGAGAATGATTGGTCATGGAGCTCCACGACGGAAAATCGCTTGCTCCATGACCTGTACCGGTGCGGCTGTTTTCGCGTCTCGGGGCTACAAACGCCCGAAACGAGCGTTTTTCTTCAACGTGAAGACGTCATTCGTGATTTTACAGACCTTGGATTATACTAGAAAGTACCAAGGAGTGAACCGAGAATGATTGGTCATGGAGCTCCACGACGGAAAATTGCCTGCTCCATGACCTGTACTAGTCCGGCTGTTTTCGCGTCTCAGGGCTACAAACGCCCGAAAAGAGTGTTTTTCTTCAACGTGACGACGTCATTCGTGACTTTACGGACCTTCGATTATGCTGGAAAGTGCCAGGGAGTGAACCGAGAATGATTGGTCATGGAGCTCCACGACGGAAAATTGCCTGCTCCATGACCTGTACCGCTGCTGCTGTTTTCGCGTCTCGGGGCTACAAACGCCCGAAACGAGCGTTTTTCTTCAACGTGAAGACGTCATTCGTGAGTTTACAGACCTGCGATTATGCTGGAAAGTGCCAGGGAGTGAACCGAGAATGATTGGTCATGGAGCTCCACGACGGAAAATTGCCTGCTCCATGACCTGTACCAGTGCGGCTGTTTTCGCGTCTCGGGGCTACAAACGCCCGAAACGAGCGTTTTTCTTCAACGTGAAGACGTCATTCGTGAGTTCATGGAACTCCGACTATGCTGGAAAGTGCTAGGGAGTGAACCGAGAATGATTGGTCATGGAGCTCCACGACGGAAAATTGCCTGCTCCATGACCTGTACCGGTGCAACTGTTTTCGCGTCTCGGGGCTACAAACGCCTGAAACGAGCGTTTTTCTTCAACGTGAAGACGTCATTCGTGAGTTTACGGACCTGCAATTATGCTGGAAAGTGCCAGGGAGTGAACCGAGAATGATTGGTCATGGAGCTCCACGACGGAAAATTGTCTGCTCCATGACCTGTACCGGTGCGGCTGTTTTCGCGTCTCGGGGCTACAAACGCCCGAAACGAGCATTTTTCTTCAACGTGAAGATGTCATTCGTGAGTTTACGGACCTGCAATTATGCTGGAAAGTGCCAGGGAGTGAACCGAGAATGATTGGTCATAGAGCTCCACGACAGAAAATTGCCTGCTCCATGACCTGTACCGGTGCGGCTGTTTTCGCGTCTCGGGGCTACAAACGCCCGAAACGAGCGTTTTTCTTCAATGTGAAGACGTCATTCGTGAGTTCATGGACCTTCGATTATGCTGGAAAGTGCCAGGGAGTGAACCGAGAATGATTGGTCATGGAGCTCCACGACGAAAAATTGCCTGCTCCATGACCTGTACCAGTGCGGCTGTTTTCGCGTCTCGGGGCTACAAACGCCCAAAACGAGCGTTTTTCTTCAACGTGAAGACGTCATTCGTGAGTTTACGGACCTGCAATTATGCTGGAAAGTGCCAGGGAGTGAACCGAGAATGATTGGTCATTGAGCTCCACGACGAAAAATTGCCTGCTCCATGACCTATACTGGTGCGGCTGTTTTCGCGTCTCGGGGCTACAAACGCCTGAAACGAGCGTTTTTCTTCAACGTGAAGACGTCATTCGTGAGTTCACGGACCTCCGATTATGCTAGAAAGTGCCAGGGAGTGAACCGAGAATGATTGGTCATGGAGCTCCACGACGGAAAATTGCCTGCTCCATGACCTGTACCGGTGCGGCTGTTTTCGCGTCTCGGGGCTACAAACGCCCGAAACGAGCGTTTTTCTTCAACGTGAAGACGTCATTCGTGAGTTCACGGACCTCCGATTATGCTAGAAAGTGCCAGGGAGTGAACCGAGAATGATTGGTCATGGAGCTTCACGACGGAAAATTTCTTGCTCCATGACCTGTACCGGTGCGGCTGTTTTCGCGTCTCGGGGCTACAAACGCCCGAAACGAGCGTTTTTCTTCAACGTGAAGACGATATTTGTGAGTTTATCTACGGACCTCCGATTATGCTGGAAAGTGCCAGGGAGTGAACCGAGAATGATTGGTCATGGAGCTCCATGACGGAAAATTGCCTGCTCCATGACCTGTACCGGTGCGGCTGTTTTCGCGTCTCGGGGCTACAAACGCCCGAAACGAGCATTTTTCTTCAACGTGAAGACGTCATTCGTGAGTTTACAGACCTGCGATTATGCTGGAAAGTGCCAAGGAGTGAACCGAGAATGATTGGTCATGGAGCTCCACGACGGAAAATTGCCTGCTCCATGACCTGTACCGGTGCGGCTGTTTTCGCGTCTCGGGGCTACAAACGCCCGAAACGAGCGTTTTTCTTTAACGTGAAAACGTCATTCGTGAGTTTGCGGACCGGTGATATGCTGGAAATTTTTAGGGAGTGAACCGAGAATGATTGGTCATGGAGCTCCACGACGGAAAATTGCCTGCTTCATGACCTGTACTGGTGCGGCTGTTTTCGCGTCTCGGGGCTACAAACGCCCGAAACGAGCGTTTTTCTTCAACATGAAGACGTCAATCGTGCGTTTACAGACCTCCGATTATGCTGGAAAGTGCCAGGGAGTGAACCGAGAATGATTGGTCATGGAGCTCCACGACGGAAAATTGCCTGCTCCATGACCTGTACCGGTGCGGCTGTTTTCGCGTATCGGGGCTTTAAACGCCTGAAACGAGCGTTTTTCTTCAACGTGAAGACGTCATTCGTGAGTTTACGGACCTGCGATTATGCTGGAAAGTGCTTGGCACTGAACCGAGAATGATTGGTCATGGAGCTCCACGACGGAAAATTGCTTGCTCCATGACCTGTACCGGTGCTGCTGTTTTCGCATCTTGGGGCTACAAACGCCCGAAACGAGCGTTTTTCTTCAACGTGAAGACGTCATTCGTGAGTTTACAGACCTCCAATTATACTAGAAAGTACCAAGGAGTGAACCGAGAATGATTGGTCAGGGATCTCCACGACGGAAAATTGCCTGCTCCATGACCTGTACTAGTCCGGCTGTTTTCGCGTCTCAGGGCTACAAACGCCCGAAAAGAGTGTTTTTCTTCAACGTGACAACGTCATTCGTGACTTTACAGACCTCCGATTATGCTGGAAAGTGCCAGGGAGTGAACCGAGAATGATTGGTCATGGAGCTCCACGACGGAAAATTGCCTGCTCCATGACCTGTACCGGTGCGGCTGTTTTCGCGTCTCGGGGCCACAAACGCCCGAAACGAGCATTTTTCTTCAACGTGAAGACGTCATTCGTGAGTTTACAGACCTGCGATTATGCTGGAAAGTGCCAGGGAGTGAACCGAGAATGATTGGTCATGGAGCTCCACGACGGAAAATTGCCTGCTCCATGACCTGTACCAGTGCGGCTGTTTTCGCGTCTCGGGGCTACAAACGCCCGAAACGAGCGTTTTTCTTCAACGTGAAGACGTCATTCGTGAGTTCATGGACCTGCAATTATGCTGGAAAGTGCCAGGGAGTGAACCGAGAATGATTGGTCATGGAGCTCCACGACGGAAAATTGCCTGCTCCATGACCTGTACCAGTGCGGCTGTTTTCGCGTCTCGGGGCTACAAACGCCCGAAACGAGCGTTTTTCTTCAACATGAAGACGTCATTCGTGAGTTCACGGACCTGCGATTATGCTGGAAAGTGCCAGGGAGTGAACCAAGAATGATTGGTCATGGAGCTCCACGACGGAAAATTGCCTACTCCATAACCTATACTTGTGTGGCTGTTTTCGCGTCTCGGGGCTACAAACGCCCGAAACGAGCGTTTTTCTTCAATGTGAAGACGTCATTCGTGAGTTTACGGACCTGCGATTATGCTGGAAAGTGCCAGGGAGTGAACCGAGAATGATTGGTCATGGAGCTCCACGACGAAAAATTGCCTGCTCCATGACCTGTACCGGTGCGGCTGGTTTCGCATCTCGGGGCTACAAACGCCCCGAACGAGCGTTTTTCTTCAACGTCAAGACGTCATTCGTGAGTTCATAAACCTCCGATTATGCTAGAAAAAGCCAAGAAGTGAACCGAGAATGATTGGTCATGGAGGTTTACAACGGAAAATTGCCTGCTCCATGACCTGTACCAGTGCGGCAGTTTTCGCGTCTCAGGGCACAAACGCCCAAAACGAGCGTTTTTCTTCAACGTGACAACGTCATTCGTGAGTTTACGGAACTCGGATTATGCTAGAAAGTGCCAAGGAGTGAACCGAGAATGATTGGTCATGGAGCTCCACGACGGAAAATTGCCTGCTCCATGACCTGTACCGGTGCGGCTGTTTTTCGTCTCAGGGCTACAAACGCCCGAAACGAGCGTTTTTCTTCAACGTGAAGACGTCATTCGTGAGTTTACGGACCTGCAATTATGCTGGAAAGTGCCAGGGAGTGAACCGAGAATGATTGGTCATAGAGCTCCACGACGGAAAATTGCCTGCTCCATGACCTGTACCGGTGCGGCTGTTTTCGCGTCTCGGGGCTACAAACGCCCGAAACGAGCGTTTTTCTTCAACGTGAAGACGTCATTCGTGAACTTACAGACCTCCGATTATGCTGGAAAGTACCAAGGAGTGAACCGAGAATGATTGGTCATGGAGCTCCACGACGGAAAATTGCCTGCTCCATGACCTGTACCAGTGCGGCTGTTTTCGCGTCTCGGGGCTACAAACGCCCGAAACGAGCGTTTTTCTTCAACGTGAAGACGTCATTTGTGAGTTTACGGACCTCCGATTATGCTGGAAAGTGCCAGGGAGTGAACCAAGAATGATTGGTCATGGAGCTCCACGACGGAAAATTGTCTGCTCCATGACCTGTACCGGTGCGGTTGTTTTCGCGTCTCGGGGCTACAAACGCCCGAAACGAGCATTTTTCTTCAACGTGAAGACGTCATTCGTGAGTTTATGGACCTGCGATTATGCTGGAAAGTGCCAGGGAGTGAACCGAGAATGATTGGTCATGGAGCTCCACGACAGAAAATTGCCTGCTCCATGACCTGTACCGGTGCGGCTGTTTTCGCGTCTCGGGGCTACAAACGCCCGAAACGAGCGTTTTTCTTCAACGTGAAGACGTCATTCGTGAGTTTACAGACCTGCAATTATGCTGGAAAGTGCCAGGGAGTGAACCGAGAATGATTGGTCATGGAGCTCCACGACGGAAAATTGCCTGCTCCATGACCTGTACCGGTGCGGCTGTTTTCGCGTCTCGGGGCTACAAACGCCCGAAACGAGCGTTTTTCTTCAACGTGAAGACGTCATTCGTGAGTTTACGGACCTGCAATTATGCTGGAAAGTGCCAGGGAGTGAACCGAGAATGATTGGTCATGGAGCTCCACGACGGAAAATTGCCTGCTCCATGACCTGTACCAGTGCGGCTGTTTTCGCGTCTCGGGGCTACAAACGCCCGAAACGAGCGTTTTTCTTCAACGTGAAGACGTCATTCGTGAGTTCACGGACCTCCGATTATGCTAGAAAGTGCCAGGGAGTGAACCGAGAATGATTGGTCATGGAGCTCCACGACGGAAAATTGCCTGCTCCATGACCTGTACCGGTGCGGTTGTTTTCGCGTCTCGGGGCTACAAACGCCCGAAACGAGCGTTTTTCTTCAACATGAAGACGTCATTCGTGAGTTCACGGACCTCTGATTTTGCTGGAAAGTGCCCGGGAGTGAAGCGAGAATGATTGGTCATGGAGCTCCACGACGGAAAATTGCCTGCTCCATGACCTGTACCGGTGCGGCTGTTTTCGCGTCTCGGGGCTACAAACGCCCGAAACGAGCGTTTTTCTTCAACGTGAAGACCTCATTCTCGAGCTTACGGACCTGCGATTATGCTGGAAAGTGCCAGGGAGTGAACCGAGAATGATTGGTCATGGAGCTCCACGACGGAAAATTGCCTGCTCCATGACCTGTACCGGTGCGGCTGTTTTCGCATGTCGGGGCTACAAACGCCCGAAACGAGCGTTTTTCTTCAACATGAAGACGTCATTCGTGAGCTTACAGACCTGCGATTATGCTAGAAAGTGCCAGGGAGTGAACCGAGAATGATTGGTCATGGAGCTCCACGACGGAAAATTGCCTGCTCCATGACCTGTACCGGTGCGGTTGTTTTCGCGTCTCGGGGCTACAAACGCCCGAAACGAGCGTTTTTCTTCAACGTGAAGACGTAATTCGTGACTTTACGGACCTAAATTTATGCTGGAAAGTGCCAAGGAGTGAACCGAGAATGATTGGTCATGGAGCTCCACGACGGAAAATTGCCTGCTCCATGACATGTACCAGTGCGGTTGTTTTCACGTCTCGGGGCTACAAACGCCCAAAACGAGTTTTTTTCTTCAATGTGACGACGTCATTCGTAACTTTACGGACCTCCGATTATGCTGGAAAGTGACGGGGAGTGAACCGAGACTAATTGGTCATGGAGCTCTACGACGGAAAATTGTCTGCTCCATGACCTGTACTGGTGCGGCTGTTTTCGCGTCTCGGGGCCACAAACGCCCGAAACGAGCGTTTTTCTTCAACGTGAAGACGTCATTCGTGAGTTTACAGACCTGCGATTATGCAGGATAGTGCCAGGGAGTGAACCGAGAATGATTGGTCATGGAGCTCTACGACGAGAAATTGCCTGCTCCATGACCTGTACCAGTGCGGCTGTTTTCGCGTCTCGGGGCTACAAACGCCCGAAACGACCGTTTTTCTCCAACATGAAGATGTCTTTCGTGAGTTTACGGACCTCCGATTATGCTGGAAAGTGCCAGGGAGTGAACCGAGAATGATTGGTCATGGAGCTCCACGACGGAAAATTGTCTGCTCCATGACCTGTACCGGTGCGGTTGTTTTCGCGTCTCGGGGCTACAAACGCCCGAAACGAGCGTTTTTCTTCAACATGAAGACGTCATTCGTGAATTCACGGACCTCCGATTATGCTAGAAAGGGCCAGGGAGTGAAGCGAGAATGATTGGTCATGGAGCTCCACGACGGAAAATTGCCTGCTCCATGGCATGTACCGGTGCGGCTGTTTTCGCGTCTCGGGGCTACAAACGCCCGAAACGAGCGCTTTTCTTCAACGTGACAACGTCATTCGTGAGTTTACAGAACTCCGGTTATGCTGGAAAGTGCCAAGGAGTGAACCGAGAATGACTGGTGATGGAGCTCCACGACGGAAAATTGTCTGCTCCATGACCTGTACCGGTGCGGCTGTTTTCGCGTCTCGGGGCTACAAACGCCCAAAACGAGCGTTTTTCTTCAACGTGAAGACGTCATTCGTGAGTTTACGGACCTGCAATTATGCTGGAAAGTGCCAGGGAGTGAACCGAGAATGATTGGTCATAGAGCTCCACGACGGAAAATTGTCTGCTCCATGACCTGTACCGGTGCGACTGTATTCGCGTCTCGGGGCTACAAACGCCCGAAACGAGCATTTTTCTTCAACGTGAAGACGTCATTCGTGAGTTCATGGACCTTCGATTATGCTGGAAAGTTCCAGGGAGTGAACCGAGAATGACTGGTCTTGGAGCTTCACGACGGAAAATTGCCTGCTCCATGACCTGTACTGGTGCGGCTGTTTTCGCGTCTCGGGGCTACAAACGCCCGAAACGAGCGTTTTTCTTCAACGTGAAGACGTCATTCGTGAGTTTATGGACCTGCGATTATGCTGGAAAGTGCCATGGAGTGAGCAACCGAGAATGATTGGTCATGGAGCTCCACGACGGAAAATTGTCTGCTCCATGACCTGTACCGGTGCGGCTGTTTTCGCGTCTCGGGGCTACAAACGCCCGAAACGAGCGTTTTTCTTCAACGTGAAGACGTCATTCGTGAGTTCACGGACCTCCGATTATGCTAGAAAGTGCCAGGGAGTGAACCGAGAATGATTGGTCATGGAGCTCCACGACGGAAAATTGCCTGCTCCATGACCTGTACCAGTGCGGCTGTTTTCGCGTCTCGGTGCTACAAACGCCCGAAACGAGCGATTTTCTTCAACGTGACGACGTCATTCGTGAGTTTACGGAACTCCAATTATGCTGGAAAGTGCCAAGGAGTGAACCGAGAATGATTGGTCATGGAGCTCCACGACGGAAAATTGCCTGCTCCATGACCTGTACCGGTGCGGCTGTTTTCGCGTCTCGGGGCTACAAACGCCCGAAACGAGCATTTTTCTTCAACGTGAAGACGTCATTCGTGAGTTTACGGACCTCCGATTATGCTAGAAAGTGCCAGGGAGTGAACCGAGAATGATTGGTCATAGAGCTCCACGATAAAAAATTGCCTGCTCCATGACCTGTACCGGTGCGGCTGTTTTCGCGTCTCGGGGCTACAAACGCCCGAAACGAGCGTTTTTCTTCAACGTGAAGACAATATTTGTTGAGTTCATGGACCTCCGATTATGCTGGAAAGTGCCAGGGAGTGAACCGAGAATGATTGGTCATGGAGCTCCACGACGGAAAATTGCCTGCTCCATGACCTGTACCAGTGCGGCTGTTTTCGCGTCTCGGGGCTACAAACGCCCGAAACGAGCGTTTTTCTTCAACATGAAGACGTCATTCGTGAGTTTACGGACCTCCGATTATGCTGGAAAGTGCCAGGGAGTGAACCGAGAATGATTGGTCATGGAGCTCCACGACGGAAAATTGCCTGCTCCATGACCTGTACCGGTGCGGCTGTTTTCGCGTCTCGGGGCCACAAACGCCCGAAACGAGCGTTTTTCTTCAACGTGAAGACGTCATTCGTGAATTTATGGACCTTCGATTATGCTGGAAAGTGCCAGGGAGTGAACCGAGAATGATTGGTCATGGAGCTCCACGACGGAAAATTGTCTGCTCCATGACCTGTACCGGTGCGGCTGTTTTCGCGTCTCGGGGCTACAAACGCCCGAAACGAGCGTTTTTCTTCAACGTGAAGACGTCATTCGTGAGTTCACGGACCTCCGATTATGCTGGAAAGTGCCAGGGAGTGAACCAAGAATGATTGGTCATGGAGCTCCACGACGGAAAATTGCCTGCTCCATGACCTGTACCAGTGCGGCTGTTTTCGCGTCTCGGGGCTACAAACGCCCGAAACGAGCGTTTTTCTTCAACGTGACAACGTCATTCGTGAGTTTACGGAACTCCAATTATGCTGGAAAGTGCCAAGGAGTGAACCGAGAATGATTGGTCATGGAGCTCCACGACGGAAAATTGCCTGCTCCATGACCTGTACCGGTGCGGTTGTTTTCGCGTCTCGGGGCTACAAACGCCCAAAACGAGCGTTTTTCTTCAACGTGAAGACGTCATTCGTGAGTTTACGGACCTGCAATTATGCTGGAAAGTGCCAGGGAGTGAACCGAGAATGATTGGTCATAGAGCTCTACGACAAAAAATTGTCTGCTCCATGACCTGTACCGGTGCGGCTGTTTTCGCGTCTCGGGGCTACAAACGCCCGAAACGAGCGTTTTTCTTCAACGTGAAGACGTCATTCGTGAGTTTACGGACCTGCGATTATGCTGGAAAGTGCCAGGGAGTGAACCGAGAATGATTGGTCATGGAGCTCCACGACGGAAAATTGCCTGCTCCATGACCTGTACCGGTGCGGCTGTTTTCGCGTCTCGGGGCGATAAACGCCCGAAACGAGCGTTTTTCTTCAACGTGAAGACGTCATTCGTGAGTTCTCCGACCTGCAATTATGCTAGAAAGTGTCTCGGTGTGAAGCGAGAACGATTGGTCATGGAGCTCCACGACGGAAAATTGCCTGCTCCATGACCTGTACCGGTGCGGCTGTTTTCGCGTCTCGGGGCTACAAACGCCCGAAACGAGCGTTTTTCTTCAACGTGAAGATGCCGTTCGTGAGCTTACGGACCTGAAATTATGCTGGAAGGTGTTAGGGAGTGAACCGAGAATGATTGGTCATGGAGCTCCACGACGGAAAATTGCCTGCTCCATGACCTGTACCGGTGCGGTTGTTTTCGCGTCTCGGGGCTACAAACGCCCGAAACGAGCGTTTTTCTTCAACGTGAAGACGTCATTTGTGAGTTTACGGACCTCCGATTATGCTTGGAAGTGCCAAGGAGTGAACCGAGAATGATTGCTCATGGAGCTCCATGACGGAAAATTGCCTGCTCCATGACCTGTACCGGTGCGGCTGTTTTCGCGTCTCGGGGCTACAAACGCCCGAAACGAGCGTTTTTCTTCAACGTGAAGACGTCATTTGTGAGTATACGGACCTCCGATTATGCTGGAAAGTGCCAGGGAGTGAAGCGAGAATGATTGGTCATGGAGCTCCATGACGGAAAATTGCCTGCTCCATGACCTGTACCGGTGCGGCTGTTTTCGCGTCTCGGGGCTACAAACGCCCGAAACGAGCGTTTTTCTTCAACGTGAAGACGTCATTCGTGAGTTCACGGACCTCCGATTATGCTAGAAAGTGCCAGGGAGTGAACCGAGAATTTGGGGGTAGAAGCGCTCATTCCAAGCATTTTTCTTCCGCCGGATCACGTGGATGCGCTTGTCTGATCCTCCTGACAAGGGCGTTGGAGGGTTGCGAGCATCATCGGTCATCGGCGCTCGCGAATGAAGTGCGCCCGCTGCACTTCCTACACGTGTGCAGATCATTTACTATTTTGGGGGTAGAAGCGCTCTTTCCAAGCGTTTTTCTTCTGCCAAGTCACGTGGCTGCACTTTTCTGGTCCTCTTGCCAAGCCAGCAAGGGCGTGGGAGGGTTGCGAGCATCGTCGGTCATCAGCGCTTGCGAATGAAAAGCGCCCGCTGCACTTGTTGCACATGTGTTAAACCCTCCGTGTTTTAGGGGTACTAGCGCTCGTTCTGAGCGTTTTTCTTCCACCGGGTCACGTGGCTGTGCTTGTCTGGTCCTGTTGCCAAGCCAGCAAGGGCGTTGGAGGGTTGCGAGCATCATCAGTCATCGGCGCTCACGAATGAAGAGCGCCCGCTGCACTTCTTGCACATGTGTGGATCCTTCCGCGTTTTGGGGGTAGAAGCGCTCATTCCAAGCGTTTTTCTTCCGCCGGGTCACGTGGCTGCGCTTGTCTAGTCCTCTTGCCAAGCCAGCAAGAGCGTGGGAGGGTTGCGAGCATCATCGGTCATCGGCGCTCGCAAATGAAGAGCGCCCGCTGCACTTCCTGCACGTGTGCGGATCCTTCAGCATTTTGGGGGTAGAAGCGCTCTTTCCAAACGTTTTTCTTCGACTTAGTCACGTGGCTGTGCTTGTCTGGTCCTCTTGCCAAGCCAGCAAGGGCGTGGGAGGGTTGCGAGCATCATCGGTCATCGGCGCTCGCGAATGAAGAGCGCCCGCTGCACTTTGTACACATGTGCGGATCCTTCCGCGTTTTGGGGGTAGAAGCGCTCGTTCCGAGCGTTTTTCTTCTGCCGGGTCACGTGGCTGCGCTTCTCTGGTCCTCTTGCCAAGCCAGCAAGGGCGCGGGAGGGTTGCGAGCATCATCGGTCATCGGCGCTTGCGAATGAAGAGCGCCCGCTGCACTTCTTGCACATGTGTGGATCCTTCCGCGTTTGTGGGGTACTAGCACTCGTTCTGAGCATTTTTCTTCCGCCGGGTCATGAGCCAGCGTCGCGTTAGCGCCTCCCCCTCAGCGCCCTAGTGCGCCTTTGTGTACGGCCCCGTTTGGCCCCGTCGACCCGCGCGCGCCCCGCTTACGGCCCCGTTTGGCCCCGTCGACCCCTTCGCGCCCCGCTTAGTGGCCCCGTTTGGCCCCGTCGACCCGCGCGCGCCCCGCTTACGGCCCCGTTTGGCCCCGTCGACCCCACGCGCGCCCCGCTTAGTGGCCCCCCCCAGCCCCCGTCGTCCGCCACCACACGGCCCCTCGACCCCGCTGCGCCCCGCTTAGCGGCCCCACGGCCCCGTCGAGCCCCGCTTAGAGGCCCCCGCGACCCAGTCCCGCCCCTCTTAGCGGCTTCGCGCAGCCGCGCAGCCCGAACCGAGCCGCGCCGCCCTACCTGAACTGAGCCGCGCCGCCCGACCGAGCCGCGTCGACCGTTCTAGCAGCCCTGTTGATCCTACTGCTACTGCTACTACGGCTACCACTATGGCCAGTCCTCCCGTACTTGCTTTCGATGCTGAGGGCCGCCCAGTGAAATTTGACACCTGGCTCGATGACCTGCACCTTTTCCTACAGCTCACTGCCAAGGAGGACATCTCACTGTATGACCACGCCCTCGGCCATGCTCCTGCCCCTGCTACTGATGCTGACAGCACTACCCGCTCCCAGTGGCAGACTCGTGACGCCCACGCTCGCTTTGCCATCCGCAACTCCCTGCCGTTAGATGAGCGCGAGCACTTTGGCCAGTGCAAGACTGCTAGGGACCTCTACACCGCTGTAGTTGCCCGCTACTCCTCACCCGCTTCTGCCACGCTAGGCCGCCTCACTCTTCCCTACCTGTTCCCCGACCTAGCCTCCTTTCACACTGTCGCAGACCTCATCACCCACCTTAAGACTAGTGAGGCCCGCTTTCGCGCTGCTATGCCTGCCGAGTTTCTCACTAGCAACCCCCCCCCGCTCTGGATCACTCTCTACCACATCGTCACCCGCCTCCCTGACTCTCTGCGCGCAGTCAGGGACCACTTCCTCTCTCGCTCCCCCACTGAGCTCACTGTTGCCCTCCTCGAGAAGGAACTGCTTGCAGCTGAGGCGAGCATCGTCGCTGTAGGCACCTCTCGTGGCGACCCCCGCACCCCGTTCTTCGAGGGGTGTTCCCCTTCCCCCCTCCTCCCCTCTGTCGCCTCTGCTGCTGCTGTCGACCTCCTTGGTGCTGAGAAGGTCGGGACCGCGTCTGCTTCGAGCGGGCGCCGCAGGGGCAAAGGGGGCAGGGGCGGGGGTGGCGGCGGAGGAGGTGGGGGTGGAGGCGGTGGGAGTGGAGGCGCGGCTGAGGAGGCTAGTGGCGGTAGTGGGGGAGGCGACAGCAGCGGCGGGAGTGGTGGCAGGGGCGGAGGCGGCAGCGGAGGCGGAGGTGGTCGTGGTGGCGGCAGGGGTGGAGGTGGCCGGGGCGGAGGCGGAGGGGGTGGTGGTCGTGGGGGCACTGGCGGAGGGCAGAGTCAGCAGTCCGCCCCGACGCTTCAGGCCGCCCGTGAGTGGTATGCGCAGCGTGGCTTTACCTGCACGTACGTCATTCGCACAGGTGACCGCAGCGGCCAGCAGTGTGGGAGGCCGCACCCCACGCAGCGCTGCTTCGCCCGCCTTACCGACGCGTGGCGCACCCAGTTTCCTGCTGCCACTGAGCTGCCGCGCTGGGCTGAGCTGGAAAAGAGGGGTGTTGATATTTGGGCTTTAGACTTTGATGCTATTCTCACTGCCATGTATGCGATGTCTATTAGTGGAGAGGGTGCTCAGTACTTGCGTGTTCCGCCCGACCTGGGCATTCAGGCCAGTCCGGCTGCCGCTCTAGGTGCTAGTGCGTCCGCTCCCGCAGGTCCTGGTGAGGCTGCTGCCCTAGGTGCTAGTGCGTCTGTGCCCCCTGGTACTGAGTCGACTGCAGCACTGCACACCTTCACACTGGACTCAGGTGCTTCTCGCTCTTTCTTTCGTGACCGCACTGTCCTTGAGCCCCTCGCTCGGCCAGTTGCTGTCTCCCTTGCTGACCCCTCTGGGGGTCCAGTCATTGCGACCTCCTCCACTGTCCTTCCTTGTCCGGCGGTCCCGTCCGGCACGCTGTCAGGTCTCTACCTCCCCTCGTTCTCTACGAACTTGGTGGCAGGTAGTGCGCTCCAGGACGGGGGTGTTCACCAGTTCACCCCTGCCTACGAGCGCGTGACACACTGCACGTGTGCTCGGACGGGTCGCCACCTGGCTACCTTCACTCGGGAGCCGGGGTCGGACCTTTACACACTGACCACTGTGTCCCCTCAGGTAGCTGCGTCTGCGTCTGCGTCAGGTCAGCTGTCCGCCCCCTGCTCGTATCGCTCTCTGGCACATGAGACTCTCCTTTGGCACCACCGCCTTGGTCACCCGTCTGTGCAGCGCCTTCGGGCCATGCACCAGCGGGACCTTGTTGCTGGTCTTCCCAGGGTGCTCCCTCCCCTTCCCGACTCGCCTGCTCCTCCCTGTATTCCCTGTGTCGAGGGACGGCAGCGCGCCGCTTCCACTCCTCCTCCTTTCCCCCGACGACTGCCCCCTTGCAGACGCTTCACATGGACGTGTGGGGCCCAGCCCGCGTCCGTGGTCAGGGTCAGGAGAGGTACTTCCTGATTGTTGTTGACGACTTCTCGCGCTACACCACGGTCTTCCCCTTGCGCGCCAAGGGTGACGTCCCTGATGTCTTGATCCCTTGGATCCGCAGATCTCGTCTCCAGCTCCGTGAGCGTTTCCGCTCCGACTTCCCTGTCCTGCATCTGCACTCTGACAGAGGTGGGGAGTTCTCCTCTGGCCTATTGCACGCTTCCGGACTCTCCACAGCAGAATGGGGTTGCTGAGCGCCGCATTGGTCTGGTCATGGAGGTCGCTCGTACCTCCTTGAGCCATGCGGCTGCCCCCCATTTTCTGTGGCCGTTTGCAGTCCGATACGCTGCGCATCAGCTCAACCTCTGGCCCCGTGTCTCCTTGCCCGAGACTTCTCCGACACTGCGCTGGACGGGAGAGGCTGGCGATGCGTCGCGTTTTCGGGTCTGGGGATCCCGAGCTTTTGTCCGCGACACGTCCGCGGACAAGCTCTCCCGTCGCGCTGTCCCCTGTGTCTTCCTTGGCTTTGTCCCGGACGCCCCTGGTTGGCAGTTCTACCACCCCACCTCGCGGCGTGTCCTGGCCTCTCAGGACGTCACTTTTGACGAGTCCGTCCCCTACTACCGCCTCTTCCCCTACCGCACTGCCCCGCTCCCCCCCCCGCCTCTCTTCCTCGCTCCAGGTGCTGAGGTACCAGACCCCCTCCCCCCTCAGGGTGCCGCTCCCTCAGGTGTGTCCCAGGTAGACCCGGGTGAGCCTGTCGAGGTAGCTGTTGACTCTCGTCCTGCTAGGGGTGCTGAGCCTGGGGGTGCTGCGTCTGGGGGTGCTGAGCCTGGGGGTGCTGCGTCTGGGGGTACTGAGCCTGGGAGCGCTGACTCTGGAGGTGCGGAGCCTGGAGGTGCTGAGTCTGGGGGTGTTGAGTCTGGGGGTGCTGAGCCTGAGCTTGCTACACCTGGAGGAGCCCTCTCCTCCCAGCAGCTGTAGGAGAGGTACCTCGAGTACTGCCGCCTCCGGAGAGGTGCTGCTGGAGCTCGTCCCGGTACTTCCCCTCCTACCCAGGAGCTCCCCCCCATTCAGCAGATCCGCGAGTGGTACACACGGCGCTGCAGTCTTCGGAGTGGTGCTCCTGGTGCTGCGGACCCTGGGGGTGGCGCTGCTGCTGGTGCTGAGGACCTGGACGTTGGAGCTGCTGCTGGTGCTGCGGACCCGCCTGGTGGAGCTGCTGCTGGTGCTGAGGACTCGGACGTTGGAGCTGCTGCTGGAGCTGAGGACCCGGGCGGTGGCGCTGCTGC